GTAATAATAATAATAATAATAAATTTCTCCTTTATCACGCATGAACACTAAGAAAATGCTCAATACACCTTACATTAATACAAAGAACATGAGCAACATACAGTTCCAATTACGATCCTTTTTCCCTGTCTCTCTTTCTCTCAATCTCTCTCTCTCTCTCTCTCTCTCTCTCTCTTCCTCTCCCACAAAAAAATTGCACGCACACAGACACAGAAATTAAGCCCACTGGCTCACTTTATTCTAACAACTTCAACGATGTACAAAACCATGAACAGAAGTGGGAGAATTTTGTCCGAACAGTCTAAGTCTTATGACTTTGCATTAGGAAGGTCCACTCAATTTTCTAGTGTTGTTTTCTCTTTGTTTGAGGACTTTTCTCTTTGTTTCCAATTGGACTGAGCCTTTCCTGTTGTGTTTAGGTGGTGGTGGTTGGGGTGGGGTGGGGAGAATGCATTTAATCATGTTTACTCTCTTTTGTAAATTTTTCTTCTTTTCTTTAACGAGCAGGACTGGTGTTAGTGGTGTAGCGGTTAGGCACTTCGCTGACTGTCGCAGGTCTTTCTGCTGGGATGTACACTTCTCAGCCCGGGTTGGAGGCCTGCCTACTAGTCGACATGACCTAAATTGGATTGATTCTAGCTTAAAAACACCTACATTTAAACAAAATTTTTAATTGTAAATATATATTTTTTAACATGAAGGTCACCAGGGTGGGGGAGAGAGAGAAAAGACATACTGAAGACAAGACATTTTATGACAAATCCCTACATCCAGTCAGACTAATTAGTTGTGAGTAACCACCAGCGACACATACCTGAGGCAGAGCCCCGTAGTTCCAGATGTAGCCTTTGTGTGGGAAGATGTTCTTCACATATCTCAGCTTGCCCTTCTTGATGTCCTGTTTGATCGGGTTCAGAGACTCCTCTTTGCAGATCTGGAGATGAAAGAGAGAAATAACTACAAAGTTCTGTTGTGTAAGCTGGGTTTTTTATTTTAAAGAAAATTATCAAGTTTTCGTTTAAATTTATCAAATCTTTCATCCATTTTATTTTAAAGCGCCTACACCCAGCAGGGAGTGTGCGCTATAGAAGTGATCTTTATTATTATTATTATTATTATTATTATTATCACTATATTTTTTTAAGCAATGGTGAGACAGCCTGAGGAAAGACAAGAAAATCAGCATCAAAACGGTCACTTAGTGCTGAGGAAAAGTGAGATCGGAACAAAGAAACAACTTAGGGAAAGTAAAGAAGTAGTACCAGTCAACGGCACCCTCCAACCACCCTCTATGGAAGGATGGAAGGAAAGAGAAGGGTCACTTGAGTTTCATGTCTACGATAACATCATAACAGGTACTCATGATTTCTCAAAAGCACTCTCCATATATTATAAAGTCACGTGATACCATGATAAAGGCTGAATAAGCAACTCCCATTCCCCTCC